CCTTTTCTTCTTTCTTTTCGGTTTTCCTTCTCTGTTTTTACCAACCCAATCACTGTCACAGTCATTGTTTCAACCTCTAGCCTTTTTTCCTCATGGCATCGAAAGCAAGCAATGCCTCAGGTACCTCGGCTGGCCAAGAACTCCTGAATTCTGGCAGATCAGAGGGATCAGTTCTGCTCATCACTCAACACAAGCTGAATAGTCAGAACTATCTTCAATGGGCTAAGTCTGTAATAATGTTCATCTCAGGCAAAGGGAAAGATGACTATCTCACGGGGGAGGTTGTTCCACCGAAACAGAATGATCCGAAGTTCAGAACCTGGAAGGCAGAAAACAATATGGTTATGTCCTAGTTAATTAACACCATGGACACTGAAATTGGGCAGAATTTCTTGTTTTATAACACTGCTCACGAAATATGGATGGCAGCCCAAGAAACATATTCAGACAATGAAAATACTGCTGAACTCTTTGAAATCAAGGGTGCACTTCATGATCTAAGGCAAGGTGAGTTAACTGTGACTCAATATTTCAATTGTCTCGTTATTGGCAACAGTTGGATATGTTTGAAAGCCCAGATTGAGAATGCCCTGGAGATGCAAATAATCTCTTCAAGAATATTGTTGAGAAGGAGAGAGTTTTCAAATTCCTATTGGGATTAGACAAATCTCTTGACGAAGTGAGGGGGAGAATTCTCGGGACCAAGCCCCTCCCATCCATTCGGGAAGCCATTTCTGAAGTAAGAAGAGAGGAAAGTAGAAAGAAACTCATGCTAGGGACTCAACTATCTTTAGGGACCGAAAGCTCTACCCATGCAGCACATGGAACCTACTTGGCTCATGACTCAAAGCAGAAGAAGACTCGCCCATGGTGTGATCATTGCCGAAAAACAGGATATACACGAGATACTTAGTGGAAAATCCATGGTAAGCCTGCGAATTGGAGGCCAAGCCGTGGTAAGGAAGCCCGAAGTTTTGTTGCTACTCCAGAAGACAAAGAAAAAGGCAATACAAAACCTGATTTCTTCAGCAAGGAGCAAATTGAATGGCTGCAAAAGATGTTTAGCCAAGGTTCAAATCCTACCTCAATTGTCTCCACGGGATCTATTGCTCAAAAAGGTTTTATTCTAGTTGCCCATCATGTTGAAACAGAAGATTCCACACGTAGGATTGTCGACTCAGGAGCCTCAGATCACATGACTGGTGATGCATCACTGCTTCAAGAATGTCACCCATGTTTTAAGAATTACAAAGTTCGGATTGCTGATGGATCACTTTCCTTGGTGACTGGAATTGAAAAAGTGGTCATCTCTGACACATTAACTCTTCAATCTGTCCTTTTAGTTCCAAATTTAACTTGCAATTTGATGTCAATCCACAAACTCACTGAGTATTCTAATTGTGTTGCTAAGTTTTCTTCCACTTCGTGTTTGTTTCAGGATTTGGATTCAGGGAAGATGATTGGCAATGCTAAGGAAGACAAGGGATTCTACTGGATTAGGGCCAAAGGACATCATAGTGCTCGGGCTCATTTCACCGCATCCCCAACAGCTAATGTTTCGAACTCTTTTATGTCATCTGCTTCAAATAAAGACAGTACAATTATGTTATTGCATTTCCATTTAGGACATCCAAATTTCATGTACTTGTCATTATTTATCAATAAAAGTCTAAAATTCTTCCAGTGTGAAATCTGTCAATTTTCAAAACATTGTCGTAGCACATATCCCCTCCAGGAATACAAACCCCCACATCCCTTTTCAGTTATCCACAGTGATATTTGGGGCCCATCTCGAATTCCAAATATAACTGGTGCAAGATGGTTTGTGTCTTTTATTGATGATCATACTCGTACCACCTGGGTCTTCCTTATGAAAGAAAAATTTAAGGCTGGACCTTTGTTTAAAATGTTTCATTCCATGATTAAAAATCAGTTTCAAGCCACAGTTCAGGTTTTCAAGACCGATAATGCCAGGGAATATTTTAACTTAATCCTAGGACAGTATCTCCTTGAGAATGGTATTATTCATCAAAGTTCCTGTATAGACACACCACAACAAAATGGGATAGCTGAGAGAAAAAACAGACATCTTCTTGAGGTAGCCGATCTATCATGTTCACTAGTAATGTACCAAAACATTTTTGGGGGGAAGCAGTTCTAACTGCCACATACCTGATAAATAGGATGCCACCTCGAATCTTGAAGTTTGATACACCAAGCCAAGTCCTTTCTAAGTTCTATCCGCAAAGCATGATTGTGAATAACATACCTCTTAGAGTGTTCGGGTGTTCAGCCTACGTCTATGTCCCACCTCATCAAAGAAGTAAACTTGATCCCAAGTCTGTCAAGTGTCTCTTTCTAGGGTACTCACCATTTCAGAAAGGTTACAAGTGCTATTGTCCCTACACTAGGAAAACATATAACACTATGGATGTGACCTTCATGGAAAACGTTCCATATTATTCCAAAACTTCTATTCAGGGGGAGAAGTTACAAGAAGAATATCAGTTTTGGGAAAGTATGATGATAGAAGAGCCTGTGGGTAGTCCTTCTCCTAAACCTGTAACTGCACCTTCTATGGATCCTCAGGAAGGTAACAAGGAACTCTTAGTCTACTCCAAACGTCAGAAAAACCCTAAACCAGTAGAGCATCACGAGCTTCCTACGCCTTGCCAAGCAGACGACCCGACTCCAACTCCAAATGAAGTGATACAAGGTAACACTGAATCTTGTTTCTCATGTAAGTCTCATTCACTTCGCGAATTCGAGTTTTCAATTCGAGCTAAGATGTGACATTTTCTGAGAGCTTTTCACTGTAGCAAAAAAAGTTAAATGTGACATTTTCTGAGAGCTTTTTACTGTAGAAACCTAAAACTAAAAACTCGAATCGGTGAAATGAACGAGGCTCTAATGATTTATGCTTACCTGATGATCTTGACATGCCGATTGCCAAAAGGAAATGGGTTAGATCATGTACCCAACATCCTATCTCACACTTTGTGTCATATGAGAAATTGTCTTCGAGTTACAGGGCATTCACCACCAATCTAGACAGCATCCAGATACTGGATTGTATCCAAGAGGCCTTGCTACATCCAGAATAGAGAAAGGCAATGACTGAAGAGCTAAAGGCCTTGCAGAAAAATAGTACGTGGGAACTCACTCAACTCCTTCAAGGAAAACATGTTGAAGGATGCAAGTGGGTTTTCAATGTTAACTACAGAGCAGATGGAAGCATAGACAAATACAAGGCAAGATTGGTAGCGAAGGGATTCACACAAACCTATGGGATTAATTACCAGGAAACCTTTGCTCCGTTGCAAAGATGAATACCATTCGAGTCCTACTTTCTTTAGCATCCAATCTTGACTGGGAGCTGCATCAATTGGACGTTAAAAATGCATTCCTCAATGGTGATCTGGAAGAAAAGGTATATATGGAGATTCCACCAGGGCTCAAGCAACGAAGTATTGGCATACATGTCTACAGTCTATCTACAGACTTTGAAAATCACTGTATGGACTCGAGCAATCTCCGAGAGCTTGGTTTGACAGGTTTACCAAGGCGGTTAAGAAGCAGGGATATTCACAATGACTATCAGATCATACTTTGTTTATTAAGAGAACCGCAGATGGTAAGATCACAATCCTTATTGTCTATGTTGATGACATAATTGTCACATGAAATAATGAAGGAGAAGCAACTCGGCTAAAGGGTGTTCTAAGACGAGAATTTGAAGTCAAAGATCATGGAACCTTAAGATACTTTCTAGGGATGGAGGTAGCACGGTCAAGTAAAGAAATCTCAATTTCACATAGGAAATATACACTGGACCTACTAAAGGAAACATGCATGCTTGGCAATAAACCTTCAGATACTCCCATGGACCCGTTCAACAAAATTGGATCTAAAGAAGATTCAGCTCTAGTAAATAAAGGAAGATATCAAAGGTTAGTAGGCAAATTAATCTACTTGTCTCACACAAGACCAGATATTAGCTTTGCTGTCCGTGTGGTGAGATCAACCCGAATGAAGAACATCAAGAAGCAGTGTACAGAGTATTAAGGTATTTGAAGATGACTCCTGGCAAAGGCCTATTTTTCAAGAAAGGGACCAACAAGAGCATAAAGGTTCTATCGGATGCAGATTGGGCAGGTTCGTTGATTGATAAGAGATTAACATCTGGGTATTGTTCCTATGTGTGGGGAAATTTGGTTAGTTGGAGGAGTAAGAAGCAATCAGTGGTTGCGCGGAGTAGTGCTGAAGCTGAATTCCAGGCACTCGCTCATGGAATATGTGAGGGAATATGGTTAAGAATACTTCTAGAAGAATTGCAACATCCAGTTGAAACTCTGATGAAACTGTTGTGTGACAACCAGGCTGCAATCAACATCTCGAAAAATCCAATCCTTCACGATCGCACCAAGCATGTGGAAATTGATCGACATTTCATCAAGGAAAAGATAGAAGAAGGAATTGTTGAGGTTGTCTACACACCCACACAACAGCAGACTGCAGACATACTCACAAAAGTTGTTCCAAGAACTCACTTCGATTTTCTTTTATCCAAGCTGGGAATGATTGATATCCATTCTCCAGCTTGAGGGGGAGTGTGGAAAATCCGGTGTGTGTGTATAATAGGAAAGATTGTGTACAGTTGGTAGTTTCCTTATTTGTAGAAATTAGTGATTAGGTTCCTGATTTGCTGATTCAGTAGTTAATTAGTTTCCTAATTTGTGTGATTTAGGTTACTAGAATCAAGGGTGAAAACCGCCTGAGGTTCTCCCTAAAAGTGTATATATACCCGGCCATAAAGTGTAATGTATTCAGAGTTATTACTAAGAATTTTCTTTTCTCAATTCTCTCACTTCTTTTCGAGAAAATCTTCATCAACACAAGATTGAAAAATTAAATAAATAAACAAGAATCAAGCATGTGCTTGTAAGTTGTAACAAGACGTGCATTGAGAAACGGCAAAGAATGAAACTCCAAACAATTACCTGAGGAAGAGGCAATGTTGCAATTAGATCAATAAAGAAATCAGATCTAATGTACCTCCGGGCAATCTTCTTTGGATCCATTACAAGCTCGCCCCTCCCAAATACTCGAGTGTTAGGTGCAACATAAGCCGTCCTGAACTTTATAATCATGTGCAAAAAATAAAAAATATCCGCAAGAGTCCTAAAACAAGTCACAACAATTCGCAAATTCAAGTCTGTCTTCACACATGATGACTTTTCATTTGCTTCCACCATGGGCAAGTAAAAATACAATGGATCAACAAAAAGCGCCACTAAACATGAGACAATGAAAACCCAGTTCCATTGCAACACTATCTCACTACCTGGGTCAAGAATTCTTTTGCGCCAAGGTTCCTGATCGTCTGGAAACACCTTGGACCTCCCAATTCTGAAAGTTTCAGTAAATCTATTTTTGCCCCCAAGTCCACCATCTGCTTTCAGTAATGAAGCTGATGAAACCTTATACGCAGATGATGACCTTTTGAGCCACATTGGTTCATGTTGCCCCCATAAAGATTCATTATGCTGTTTCCCATCTGAATGAAACCTAAAATTTTAACGTAAATAGAGAGTCAAGACATTTCCAGTGAATTTTAGTGGACATAGTTTGAGGAAATGGTCTTTCAATAAAATACTATTTCATGAGCAGAAGCAAATAAAAAAAAGTACAATAATTTTCCCGAAATATTCGTAAAGTAACCTTTGCACTTAAGGCCCTAAGAATGTCTCATCCCAAAAGTCCTTGACAACATAACATGAAAATACTAATAGAGCGACAATAGAAATTTTATCATGAATATCATGAATGCAAATGTATTAAAATTTTGTAGAATCTATAAAACTTGAATTATTGTTTCATCCCAACTTTTTTTTACCTCTAACAAGCTTTTTTTTTTCATGAAATTGTGTTATCATGATGTGTATCATTTTCTGTCCCAATAAATTATAAGAAAAATGAAACATAAGAAGTAACGTAGAAAATTTATGTTCTACGTTGTTTTGCCTTCTAAAGAGTACTAACTGCTTAGTCGCTCCTCATTTCGACCAATTAGCAGTGGCACAGAGATTCCATCCCTACATAACAGAGCTAAGTCTTCCTTGTTTAAATAATATAGAGAAAATCTTAAAATTTTCCCATATCTTTTTCTGCAACCAAACAAAGCATTGACCAATATCCCAATCAATAAAAAGCCTGGGACAAGAAAACAATTCCAGTGAATGCTTAGCATACTATGGAACACCCATCACAATTCACAATTAAGATAATCAGCATTTATTGGAATAAAGATTTATTCTTCACGGGCCCGAATCACAAATTAAAAATCGTACTGGCTTAGTTAGGTGCAGATAAACTTTTAATTTGTAATGGACCCATAAACTTTAAAAGAAAAAACAAAGTATATTGATTTCCTTATTTTCTCAGTAACAAAACAGAATGTCTCAAAGAAAAATGAAGAATAACTATGCAAGTAAACTAATAAGATCCTCGCATTATTTTTGCAGATATGTCGAGTTTCAACTTTCATGTTCGTGAAGTTCTAAAAAGTTAGTTAATTAACTGAATTTCGGTCTTTGATTTCACCAAAACGTTATAAAATCATAGACTTTTGCTCTAATTCACCGCGAACAGAAAGTGAGAAAATCAATCAAATCTACCAAAGAAAATTAAATGAAAAGGAAAAAAAAACAGCAATCCTAGAGATTACCTGACAAGCTTTTCCTTCTTGAATTCCATGGCGAGAAGAAGGAGAAAGCTGAAATCGGACCTTCAAAACCCTAACATTGGGAACTAAAATTGGCGTCTCTCTCTCTCTCACTTCCAGGAGCTTTCTCTCTCTTCTCTAACTTTGCGAATCTGAGCTGAGTGCAAACGTTGTAGAGTGAGAAAGGGAGAGGGAAAAAGAAATACTAAACGAGTCGAGACTGGCTTTTTTTGTGTGACCTGTTTGTTAGTTGGAAAAAGCACACGGACACTACGGCGGTAGTTTTCGCGTTAAAAGACGGTAGAAGTGAGATCAACCAAACGCTGTCGTAATAAAGTCGATTAATGTTTGACGATTCCACCAATTAGGTGATTTCTTTTTTGAAAAAAAATAGGGAATTTATTTTTTAAAATATTTTTATTATCTTTTAATTAGTGTAATTATTTAATTAAAAAAATAATAAATTAAGAATAAATAATAAAAATCTGGATTCGTACACTTTTAAAATATATTTATCAAATTATCTATTGTCTTTTTGACAATTTAGCCCACTTGTAAATTTCTAAATTATTCTTTTTAAAATAATTAATTATTTATTTTTTTGAAAAAATAATAATTAACTAATTCTCTATATAATTTTTATATTACAAGAAAAAATATTTTATCAAAAAAAATGGATGTGTGTTACAAACGTTTGGTTCATATATTCAGAATCATTCTCGTTTACGTGTTTTTTGTGAGAAAAAATATTGTAGCGAGCCACGAACCATGATTCGAATCATGGCACGAATCTCCCTTCCAAACGAACCAATCCTCGCATTTCATTTAATTATCATATTTTCTTTTAATATAATGAATTTGATATATGATCTAACTGTTAAAATTTTGTATTATTGATTAGGTATTTTCATATTTCACCAGAGAATTCTCTCCATTTTAAAAAAAGTTAATACACACTAAGCATATTATTGTATATACTAAAAGAGACTCGAGATTCACGATTCACACACTCACATTTTACTGTTCTTTGTACAATAACATTCTCAAAATTTTGTTTATGTCCCTTGTCCTTTGAGTATGAATTGTCAATTTTACCCTTTTTCCTTCTCTTTTGCCCTTCATGGTGCATGGACTTTTGCGTCTTTTGATCTAGGATTGCCACGTGTCGACGCCTAGCTGGCCGAAGAAAAAAGTGGCGGGGCCCACCACTGCGAAGTTGTTGTCTTCCCCCGCTGAACGCACTTCTTTTGCGCATTTTTTTCACGCGCAAATCACAACCGTCGAAATTTTTGATCAGACGGTTTCAAATCATTTTCGGTTTATTCTTTATTATAGTTATTTACTATTTTGAATTGATTTGGAGTTCAATTTTGTCCATTTCACCACCGTTCTGTGCTAAATTTTTTATATTATCAAAATTTATATACTATAAAACTTTTTATATAATACAACAGTATTTTTCGCAGCAACGCGCAAGCTTTTGGCTAGTTGATTCTATTCGCGTATAATTATGCTTACTTGGGAATTGAGGTTAAGATTGGATCTTCCGCTTTGCAAATGTACCTTTTTTAGTGGGTAATCTTGACAAATACATTTTGAAAGTACATAAGTCAAAATTTTTACCTTTTATTTTTGATTTATAACATTTTTAGTCAAATAATTACACTAATAAAATGGTATTTATCAAGAATAAGAGGTAAATGTCTAGATTCATACACTCAAGAGTAAATTATCTAATTTTTCTTCTTTTAGTTGCTTTTCTAAAAATAAAATTACCTTTTTGACTTACCAAAATATATTATTTGAGTCTTCTATAGTTTGTTTCGTTCACATAATTTTTGCATAAAGTCATTCATAATAAGTTATTTTCTAATATTTCGAGCGTTTTGTCAATAATTTTCTTGGCTTAGTTTGGTAATGCTGTGGATTTTAGAAAAATTACTTTTAGCTGTGCTAAATGAAAAAGCAGCTGTTACAAAAAGCAGTTGAGTGTTTGGTAAACTATAATTATAATAACTGTGCTGGTTCTAAATTCAGTGTAACAGCGTTTGGTAAATTTTGATGTTGAATTACTGTGAGTATGTAAAATGATCAAAATAGACATGGTATGAAACTTAAATATATATAATTATTTTTTAGTATTTAGAAATATTTATTTAACTTAAAAAAAACATAATGCTATGATTTTGAGTTTTTTAACAATAAATTTATGATAATTAATTCTTTTTTTTCAGGTTTTCATTCACAATATAGTTACAACTAAAAGGAGCATTAGTGAGTAATCAATTTGTTGAACAAAAAAGTACATTCCATGTTCAAAAACTGACAGAGTCATTAAAAGAGTTAAGTCGTGTTCATTAAACTTGTCACAATTTGATCTCGTACTTCAACCATTTCTTATGATAGTGAAGCTTCATCTCCTTCTACATTGTCCTCCAGTTGGTGCTCTTCATAAGCGAAAATATCTAGATTATCCTCGACTTCTTGAAAATATCGATCATGCTTATCATGCCTTCTAATATAGTTATGAAGCGTCATTGTTGCAATAACTATTTTTACTTGCTTCTTAAATGAATAATTAGGCATGTCTCTCAAAATTTTCCATTTTTTATTCCAAACACCAAAAGTGCGTTCAATGTCACTTCGAAGAGAAGAATGTGATTGGTTGAATACCTCTTTACTGCCTATTGGTCGATGACCCATTCGAAATTGTGGTAAATGATATCGTTCTCCTTTATAAGGTCCAAGAAATCCTTTCAATTGCAGATAGCCCGCGTCAACGAAATAATATTTACCTATTAAAATAAAAACACAAGAATTAGTAAAATGTAAAACATATATAATATAAAATATAGACAATGTTTTAACCTTCAAGTGGTTTTGGAAATTTCAAATGTCAGTTACATAGTGCTGATAAGAATATTCTTGTGTCATGGGCACTACCTTCCCAACCTGCATATGCATATATAAATTTCATACTGAAATCACAAGCAGCCATCACATTTTGGGTTAGCACACATTTCCTTCCAATAAATGGCACCCGATCTCTGGTGGTATTGTAGCTGGAACATGTACGCCATCTATTGCACCAATACAATTCTAAAAAGAAGAATTTTTAATGTATAAATAAACATAATTTTAGTAGGGAATGAAGCATATAAAAAGTATGATTTTACCTTAAAATGTGGCATAAATCTACGATCTGTCATTATCTCTATAGGCACGTCATTAAACTCTAGGTCTGGAGGCTGTATAATATCGATGCTCATACGACATACAATTTCTAAAACATAATTAAAATATCTACTCATTGTCTCACCAGAGTGTTGAAATCGCTCTTGTGCTGAACGATTCTCAGCACCCTGACCCAAAATGAATAAAAACATTCCAAGTATTTCAGCCGCACACATATTCGTTGATCCCTGTAACCCGTAGTTACTCTGTAGATCATTACATAGCTTCAAAAACACGTTCTTATCCATTCTAAACATCCTGTAACTTATAATTTCATGCCCTCTTAATAATTCCGTCACCCACATATTTCCAGTTTGTGAAGAGTTCATACACGGATTCTTATGCATATACGTGTTGTAGTAATATTCAATGAGTCTAGCAATGGTACATACAAGTTGTAGATCGTACTCATCAAGATTGTTAGCCATTTTTGGCAACAACAATAAACCTGTCATTCAATATGGTGCAATAAAAATAATCAGACTCACATACAAGTAGTAATACGAAATGTCATTGTACAACAATGTCTTAAACATAAAGCAAGAAAACCGCACTGAAAGAGAATAACAATGTCTCAACCATCAATACAACAAGAAAACCGCACTAAATAGAAATGAGGAATGGAAATCTAAGTGGAGGATCCTAGCCCATGTTCAAACTTAAGCCAATTGAGCCTCAACTCAGGTTCCTTAAAAGCCATAAATGCCTCTCTCTTATTCTTGTCTAACAACAAGTTGACCGAAAAGAAATAGAACTCACTACCAGTCTGTAATCCTGGTAATGAATCTAAAACTTCAATAACTTTTGTTATGCTATAGTTTCCAGCGTCAGATTGCGCAATCGATGATCCAATACTTCTACTCTCAACTATATCAACAAGGCGATCACTTTGTTAAGACAATTTAGCATCTCCTCCAACCTTCACGTTTCCTTTTCCTTTCTTGACTTTCTTTTGTCTCTCATCTGTCTCAATTGGCCTCTTATTCTTACGGTCTTGTGCTAATTCACTTCAGATTAGTTCACCTGACTCACCACTACTCTCAAGTTGTTCAGGTAGAGTAGAATTATCATTTCCAGCTTTTTCAGACTCACATGGCACCTGTCCAGATGATGGTGTCCAAGAATGCACTCATGTGGCCACAACATTCATGAACATCCTATTTAACTTTTCTTCTAACTGTGGTTCAATTCCCTGAGTGCGAAACCTCGATGCGTTGGGATGAATCTGCAAGAGCACTTGAATAAATTAAACATGCCTAGTCCAACACCAAAATAAACAATGACAAACCACATAATTCTGTATACCTGTAATTTATTATGCCACCACTCCTCAGATGCATCAACATTATTTTTCTTAATGTTCCAACCTAGACCAGTTTCTTTACCAATAAGTTCCTTCCAAAGCTTCCAATCATTCTTCAAAGCATCCCATTTATTCTTCAATTGTTGTCTTTTATATACTCGTTTGGTTGCTTCATTAAATTTTCCTATCCAACTTTATCCAAATGGGTTCCAGGACGGCGTCTAATTTCCACCTCTATAATACACAAATCACAAAACAGATCTACATTCTCGGGGTCCCGTATTGCTTTACCTTGTGGTATACTGCCCTCCATTTGAGAATTGATAACTGAAAGTCTAAAACAATGTGAGGCTTCATGCTTCAATTTACAAAAATAATAATAAGGGTAATACTAACCTTATTTTCAATTAGAACACTCAATCAATAGCAAGCTAATCATAGCTTCTAGTCCTAGATACTTCACCTAAAAATTGGCATAAGAACTAATGTATTTGATTGAAACATCAAGATCATCGTTTTATCAAGAATAGAATGCTAATTTGATTTACAAGAATTGTGCCTAATGATCACTTCCTCTTATTCTTATTCATGGAAGGCATCCGGAAACACAACTTGGAGAAAATTAAAGACATCAAGGAGAAAATATTACACAACAAAAAACGACAACAAAAAAATGGAATACCTAAATACAAAACCATATTTTGCTACTCATCTTTAGGGGGAGAACATATGGGAAGATGCAAATGTGTTTGAAACTAATGATGTGTTTAAAATAGAATCAACAAATTCAAATCATCTTGACCCGAATATCCCTAATACTGATGCTACAATAAACTTGGATTTACAACCTGAAAATGAGGGCAGAAATAATGAAAATCAGAATTACAGCAGCACAGAGAATAGAGACAAAACAAATACTAAGAGTCCAGTCTTGGTTTACTGGATTCGGAAACAAAGATCAAAGGAACAAGGTCCCGATCCTCTACAAGGCCATGAGTCCAAACCGAGGGAAGAACCAAACTCAGAAAATTAGAACCCTAAACCCATTTCCGCACAAAAAATCAGAACCCAATCGAAAGCCGCACTAAAAATTGAGCACTTACAGAGGCTTACCTCTTGATCTGATGATGGGTAGTCAGAGGAGGAGATGGGATACCGGCAAACCCACTTTCAACAATGCTTAAGTGTTTTTCTTTGATGCAAAAAATCAGAACCCTAAAACCCAAAATATATGCGGACTAAAAATCAGAACCAAATCCAAATGTTCAAAATCAGAACCAAATCCAAATGTTCAAAATTAGACCCAAACCCAAAATCGCGCGGTTAGAGAGGCTTACCTCTTAATCTGATGACGAGAGAATGAGAGGGGAGACCGGAAAACCGACAATCACGCGGAGGAGAAACCAAACGAGCTCCGACAGGCCAACGGAGAGAGAGACCGGCAAACGGAGCCGGGAAGATCGCTTCGAACGGAGAGAGGGAGAGAAGACAAAACTCAAAATTTTTTTTGTAGAGGAGACAAGAGAGATAACAGAAAGGAAGGAGGAGATACCGAATTGTGAAATGAAAATGCGTTTCTGAGGTTGTAAATTTCAGATTTCATTGAGGGTAAAATTGGAAAAAAAAATTATTAAACCCTCAAAACTGATTCTCGCATAAGCTGAAATGAGAATCAGCCTTTAGGCTGATTCTACTTTTAGCTTCAGATTGGGAAGAAATTATTCAAAAATCTGTTTTACCTAACAAGTTTTTAAATTTTAGTTATCTCAATAAGTGTGTTTTCTCTCCCAAAATCAATACCAAACCCACCCCTTATTGGATTTGCTCCCACTTGTCAAAGTCAGTAGTCCAAGACGGAACCATGTAATGGTGTACCATCCATATAATATGTTGTTTATTTTCGTTTGCTTACAAAATTAATTATAGTTTTAAATCTACTTGACAAATGTATGTCTCCTGATAAGAAACTGTAAGGAAAAAAATGCACTTCCATTTGCATTTTTTTTTTCCTTCGTCTTGCTTACAAAAGTAAACTTTGTTTGGCTGAATGATATAAATGGGCACAATTTTATCACATTTCCATTGTGGAATAATAGTCATCATTAAGATAAGACAGGACGAAGACATAAGAAGAATTAATTATTTCATTAGGAAATCTGAAATGTTTGGTTTTCTTCGGTGACCGAACCTAACTTTGTTAGATTTTGAGGAAATGGAACCGCAAATCAAGCCAACCACAAATGGAAACCAAATGGTTAAATGTCAGTTTTAAAATAACGTTAAGACTAATTCATTTCACCAATTTGAGTTTTACTATTATTTCTTCGCTATTCACATTATAAAAACAATTAAAAGCAAACTGCAATTTCTATAGTACTTCTCTACCAAACGAGCTAAGAATGTAGCCAATACGCCAAATTTGACTCGCCAACAAAAGCGTTTGACAAAACCAAAAGCCAAAGAAAAATAAGAGAAACCAAATTGTACACTCAAAAGAAGAAGAAAAAAATCACTAGCCGCATTGTACTCCTTTTATGATTGTCAATGCAAATAAATTGCAGTATTGTTTTTCAGGCACAAAGTTGAAGACTGAACTTTTCCTGTAAGAACATAAAATGTAGTTATTATTATTATTTTTTTTTTAAAAAGTATTCTAAGTATTCGTTTTTCAGATGGACCCTGTAAAAATGTAACTATCATCATCTGTACAAGGTAATATCATTTAGCTGTAAAAGGACAATATCTACCCTCTCCTAACAAAGATAAGATCAGACATCACCAAAGCGCTATAAAACCAAAGGGCCCACAAGATCTAAAATTCTATGTGAAGAAACATTCTAAAGGAAGCCTTCAAATGATTTGAAAGAAATGAATTTTGGTTGTTGCTGAGCTGAGGCTGAGGCTGAAGCAGAAGCAAGGCCTTGGAGCAGCTTGATGACTTTATCCGAATCGTCAAGATAGTATTTTGCTCTGCTTGGTTTCTGACCAACAGTGCAGGCAAAGACCTCGGCAATGGCCGGCAAGGACGTGGCGCCCTTGTTGGATGACCGGGCAATGGTTTCGAACATGTCTTCATCGGAGCGGTCGTCCCCTATGCACAGGGCGAAATCCGGTGACTTACCCTGGCTTTGCATTGTGGAGATGAGGCTTTCAACAACTAAGCCTTTGCTCACACCCTGCAATGTCCATCAAAGATCATCAGATAATCCGGGAAAATCAACGGACAAAAATAACTTCAACTCGTTAAATAGCTTGATCATGAATTAATTCTTGAACATTTGACAACATTCTGCAGATAAAACGTATCCTTTCTTGCTATTTAGTCAGTAAATATGTACTACATAAATATTTAGTGTGCAATCTCAGAACTATTTATTCATAGGTTAATAGGAAAAACAAAAACCTCTTATTTTATCGAAATGATATGCATCACCCAATGCTACACATATCTTTGTGTTTTACAAAATGCATTAACGTTTTATAAATCACGCTTAAAATTATCCTTACATTTTTCATATCCTCCCTTAGAAATCGGGTTACAATGTCTCCTTATAGAAAATTTTAACACGATTTGTAGAACATAACGGATGGGTAAAATATAGAATGAAATTGCAACATTTCGGGAAAAAAGAAAAAACAAGGTATGTATTTGTTATGGTTAGTTTAAAACGAAATTCTTAAAACATTTTCTCATTTAGTCGCGATAAATCTACCAAAAGAAGTTGTGTTTGATATACCTGAGGTTTGACTTCAACTATGTGTTGACCTCTCTTAACCACAACAGGCTCATTAGCAAGCACACTCTCAAGGTGGTCAAGAAGCTCTTTAGCCTGGCATGACCCGAAATGAGAGTCAGCATCTTGGTGATGCCAAACCAATGCACTTTCTTTCTGCTCTATGAAAGAACCATCAGTTGCCTCCGTATAAAGCTCCATTACTGGCACTGCAATTTTCTTCCAATCAAAGTCCATTGTTATAGAGCAAGTCTCCCATGGAGAATCCCTACTCCACCTGAAAAAGAAAAAAGAAAAAATATAAAAAAGATTAGGAGAATTCTATACTTTATGAAAAGATATCATACTAGCAAGGCTATGTTTCTGTAGAAAAAAAACTATCAGTTCTGTGTATATATATATATATATTTTATTTTGATATGATTTTAACAAGATTACACGTGCATTAACGATAGGTATTCCCAGCATAAAAAGCTCCAAAAGATTAATAACAGAGGAAAAAACGAAAACATAAAACCTGCATAGCCAAAGATAATTTTGGTACCTTGTAAAGAAACCATGCTCAGCTGAAATACCCAATTTCTCACAAGGAGAGAACCAATCACTTAGAGAATCCTTTCCTCTTCCACTGACGATAAAAACGACATTATTCGGATCACTGCACAACTGATTCAGCATCTTAATAGTTTCTTCAGTAGGAGCTTTGTTAACAGAACTTTGTGAGCTAATAGTTCCATCATAGTCCAACAAGATCAGCCTGCTCTTGGTCTTGCGATAAGACGAGACAATGCGGTCCAATGAAAGCTTCCGAAAATTCGGTGCCAGCGCCACAACTCTGAACCCCAAACCAAAACCCATCCCCCAACACCTCTTGCAATAATGCTCCTTACAAGCCCTCTCAAGATCTTGATCAAAACTCTTAGCCCAATAGGCCACATCATGAGAACTTATATACTTATAATGCTTCTCATGGCGCAGTATTTTCTCTTCATCCCGCATAGTGAGCGCCGAATTCATGGCATCCGAGACGGCATCGATGTTCCAAGGATTGACCCTTATCGCGCCACTCAAAGACGGCGAGCATCCGATGAATTCCGACACAATTAGTACACTCTTCTTAGGTCCACAATCATCGTCATCAACCCCAATTGCACTGTCCAAAACAGGGCTGCTCTGCCTACAAACTGTGTACTCATAAGGCACCAAATTCATCCCATCCCTCACCGCATTCACAACGCAACACTCCGAAATCGCATAGTACGCAGCCTTCTCGAGCGTACTAACGAATGCTTTAATGAAAACTATCGGCTTGTAATCTCCATTCTCATCTCCATACTTTCGGTTAATCTCTTCAGCAATGGAATTAGTCTCCTCCTCAACATCTTGTACATCTTTTCCTTTACTTCTCGCCGGGTTCGTAATCTGAACCAAAACAACTTTCCCTCTCAAGCACTCATGCTCTTCCAAAAGCTGTCCCATCGCCAAAAACTTCAAACTAATCCCTTTAAACAAGTCCATATCATCAACACCCAACATAACAAATTTACCCTTAAACTTTTCTCTCAATTCCCTCACTTTCTCTTCCGTCTCGGACAGCGACAAAACCGACTGAAGCTGACCCATGTGAATTCCCACGGGGAGAATCTTAATACTAACGGTTCTTCCGTAATATTCCAATCCAATGTAACCCCTTTTGGACTGATAATCCAAACCCAACATTCTACTACAACACGACAAAAAATGTCGGGCGTAGTCGAACGTGTGAAACCCGATGAGATCGCAGTTTAGCAAAGCCTGAAGAATCTCGTTCCGGACGGGCAAAGACCGATAGATTTCCGATGACGGAAAAGGGCTGTGGAGGAAAAACCCGAGTTTGATACGATAAAACCTTTTCCTCAAAAGTGTCGGTAGAATCATGAGATGGTAGTCGTGAATCCAAACGTAGTCTTCATCTGGGTTTATGACCTCCATGATTTTGTCGGCGAAGGTTTTGTTGGCGGAGACGTAAGCGAGCCAGTGGGCCCGGTCGAACCGGGCGTTTTGGGCGGGGGACATGGGAAGCATGTAGTGGAACAGAGGCCAGAGATAGTGCTTGCAGAAACCGTGGTAGAACTTGTTCTGGATGTCGTACGACAAGAAAGTCGGGACGCAGTTGAATTTCTCGAGGAGGTAAGCGGCTACGTCGTCTTGGTCGGAGGGGTCGACGACGATGTCGTTTTTGAGGGAGCCGATGAAGATGACTTCGGAGTCGGAGGGGAAGCCGTCTTTGAGTTGGAGGACGAGGCTGTCGTTGTCGAGCTCGAACGACAACTTTCCGGTGGAGGCATCGTGGGAGGACTTGATCGGGAGGTGGTTGGAAACGACGATGCGTTTTGGTCGGGGAGAAACGACTTCGTCGTCGTAGTCTGAGAGGACTCCCGGGATGGTCATCATGAGTTTGGGAAGACGGTTGGTGGCGGCGGCGGAGAAGTCGTCGAGGGAGAGGAGGTTTAGATGGTCTAAGGGAGATCCCGAGAACATGTTTGGGACGAGAAAACCAGCGAGAAAATAGAAGAAAAGGTTTTTTTTTTTTTCTTGGGTTTTTTGTGGGAGGTGATTTTTTTTTCTTTTTTTAATTTATATGTGGGTGTTGCAGAGGAAAATGAATCTTGGGGATTATGAAGATCGGAGACGACGATGATACACTTTCCATAATAGATAAAGAGAGAGAAAGAGAGAGAGATTGGTTGCTGTTTCTCTCTCTAGAGCTCTAAAAGGGAAACTTTCTGAGAGGAAATGGGATAAGAACGAGAGTGAACAGAAGGATTTGGGAAAGAAATATATATGTGTAATTTTGGTACGTGAAGCGGTAAAAAGTGGGGTAGTGAAAACGACGGTTGAGATTGGGTAATAGGGTGGACAGATAATCAGATATTGAGACTTCACTGTTGTTTGGTGTGGTCGAGGGTAGTGAATAAGGATTGTGCTAACTGTGTCTGTAACCGACTTTCGTCCTAATTCTCTGTTTTTCTCTATGACTCTGGCTGCTTGTCGTATGAGGTAAGAGGCTTTTTTTATTATTATTATTTTGGTGAAAATATTTGGATTTTTTTGCTGGTCAAAATATTTGGATGTTGTCGTTTCTTTTTTTCTTTTTTATGGAATAATAAAAAGAATGATTATAAAAATTTCAAATTTTATTAGGTAAGTGTTGGAGTTTATTACGTCAATTCACACATGAAAACATTATTCTTGTTTTTCTAGATGAAATACATAATATTGACTTACACAATTGAATTAGTGCCGTGTGATGTTTATAAAAGGGGGAGATAGAGAAAGAGAAACAACAATAAAAGAACTCATCTGCTTTGTCTTTCCATTTTTCGTTTTTTCTGATGGCGTTGTCTTTCCATTTTATAATGAGACATGTCAACTTTGTTACATTTTCGTTTAAATGGAATTGTCAACTTCTTTTTATTTTTTTCTAAATAAGATGACAATGTCAACTTCGTTTCATGGATTATTACTCACTTCACACACAAAAAAAAAAAAAGGAAAAAATAAATAAACAAGGAAAATACCAATTGATGGGATTGTTTTGATAACAATTGTGTAATACGTGCTTATTTCGAGAAAGGGATTCAAGACCAAATCAGTGGAATTTATTTATTTTTTTTTTTTTAAGAAGGTGAAATTTGGAGCTAAATTAAGAGCATATAGAATTAGAAGAAGAAAAAACGCTTTACTTTTCTTTTTTTTTTCTTTTTTTTTTCGTTTAGTCTTACGATAATAATGTAACATCAAGGTTGTGTTACTTCTTTTTTCTTTTTCTTTTTTTAAGGGGAAGTTTGTGTCACTTATTACCTCTTATACATATTATTATACCTTCACAAAAACGAAAAAAAAATTAAAAAAATATATTCTTCCACGTTTATTTTGTTTCAAATAAATACAGTATTTTTTAAAAATAAAATAATGTAGGAAATTATATTGTGAAAATAGTAGTAGGAAATCTAATATTACTGTACATAAAGCAAATTTAAAGTTTTTTTTTCTTAATTGAGTAATGGATAAACTCCCAAAAGATCATTTTTTTTTTCTTTTATAATATATAACTCCACAACAGAATTACGAAATTGTACTTGTATTGGACGGGCGCCATAAAATTGCTTTTCTTTTTTTTTCTTTTTTCTAATCACATTCACTTTTTTTTTTTTTTTTTGCTTTCATTTCAATCTTTTTTGTCTGTCTATTTTTTCTTTATTGTGAGAGCGACACGTACACAAAGCTAAAAATCCCGGTATTCCACTCTTTAATGGTAACCGAGTGATTGGAGGAAAAGAAAAATCTTGAAAAACAAATAAAATTTAAATCACTTATTTAATTTCACTGTCTAAAATGTTATTTAATTAATAAGATTGTGTCAATATTATTTAAAAATTTTAAAATATTTTTTGAATAATTTTTTTATTTTACTATTTAAATTTATTAAATGATGTGTCATAATATAATTAATTAGACAACAATTGAGACACTAAAAACTAAAGAATAAAATCATTTTGGTACTCTGTTTTATAGCGAAACATACTCTTGGTACCTATATTTTTTATAATATTAAAATAGTACCTTGACGTTTTTAAAATATCTTCTTAATACTCTTAAGCTAATTTTCGAGATATGTAATGTCAAAACTACATTTCTTATTAATTAAATAAAAATTAATATTTTTTTAAATAAAAATCTAAAATATTTTAAAACATCAAAATATTTAAAAGAAAATAACAAAATAAAGATGTTCGTGATTTTTTTTAGATTTATTAGTTTTTGGCGAATTAAATAGAAGGGTACTAAGTTTATTTTACATCTCAAAAATCAACTTTGAAATGCTAAGAATATATTTTTAAAAACATCCAGATATCGCTTTAATATTATTAAAAACATAAAATATTAAGAACATGTTTCGCTATAACTTAGTATACCAAAATAATTTTATCTCAAAATTAAATAAGTGTTTTGACTCAAAAACTACACGAGGGAAAAATTCTCTCCAAATATGACACATGTATGCTTCTTGTTATCCTATGTCATTTCTCTTTTTTTTAATACTAGTCTTTGACGTGCGTGATTCATTTAAAAATAATGATTGTATAAATTATTTTTAAAAAAAGGTGAAAGAAGAATAAAAGGATACCTCTTACCGAAAAAAGATTTTAACTTATTTTATTGCGTTTTTAATTAGTTTTATTATGTTTTGTTTGAATTTATTTTTTATTTAATTTGGTGTGATTTGATTTGATTTGATTTTAGCTTAGCACATTTTTATTTATTTTTTTATTATAATTATTTACAATATTTTTATGTGAGTAGTATGAGAAAGTTGGTATAAGATGGTAGTAAAAAAATAGTTACAATTTATACAAATTATTTATATATTTTTGTCTGTGTAGCATCGAACTAATAAATTCAGTGCAAATGATGCTAAAAATTAAACTACAAATAACTTAAAAATAAATAAACATAATAAATAATAATAATAATTAGGAAAATGAGAATAATTTTAAGCCACACGTGTAATCTATTAAAAATAATTGATATGCAAATTATTTTAAAAAAAAAGAAACGAATAGAAAAAAAAAAGCATAAAAAAAGGTATTAGAATACGGTAACTTGAATTTTATTTAGTCTCACGCTAAAAGGTTTTGTACATAAAATAAAAGTATTTCTGGCCACGCAAGAAAAAAAAAATTGTCAAGAAAAAGAGAGAAAAATTGAGAAGTGGTTCTAGCTAGGAATTGCCACGACTTTACGAGGATGGAAACGTGGCGTGATCGGGTGGTTGTAGTCAAAGAGCGGATGGCTTTGACTGCTGACTCGGATGGGCCCCGCATCAATACCTCGGCTGGTTGGTGCGGTAATTACCGTACAATTACATCACATCATCACATGGTCCGGTTCTAGGTAAACACCTCGGCTGGTTCACAAAATAGGGGGAAATTTCTTGTCTCAAAAAAAGGGGTATTATGGTTGGCGTGTTTGGACTGTTTGTTGCAAATTTCAAATTGAGATCTGATCCGGATTAATACGTGAGAGACTATAGTTTCGTTCATTTCGTGAATTTAAATTTTTAATTTGAGTTGATATATAATATTTTTTAAGAGTTTTTTATTGTAACAGAAAAAATTAGATGTGATATTTTTTAAGAGTTTTTTACTGTAGAAACCTAAAACTGAAAACTCAAATCGGTAAAATGAACGAGACCTATATATATGTATATATCTGGCTTTAAATTTTAATTTATTTTTAGAAGGAGAATTTTACTGTAGAGTATGAAAACCTATCAAACTCGTATGATTATGTTTTAATCGTGAAATATTTATGAGGAATCGTTTCGTAATTTTTTTATTTTTTTATTGATATTAATTTTAATCATATCAAATGTTTAGAAACAACGCTCTTAGTGAGTATTCTCTTCGGTATAAAACCCTTTTAAAAACTTAATTCAAATTAAGTAAGCGATGAAAAATGCAATATTAATTAAATCAAGTTCCTAAAATATCTATTTCTCCTAAGGTTGAAAAGGGTGTTTCACCTTGTTAGACTTAAGGAAGATTTTTCATATGCTAATTTCTAATTTTTGTTCAGAAGATTTAAAAAAATATTTTTAATTGTAGTTACAAGTATAACCTAATAGTAATTTCAAATATAGTCCTTTTTTTATGTAGAGTGCATAACCCAATTTCAAAGTTCTTTTTTCTTTTTGAAGAAAAAAGAAGAAATTCCTACTTGTATTATTTCAGCTTATTAGACTTAAGTAAGATTTTTCATATGTTATGATCTAATTTTTGGTTTGAAATTTGAAAACGTTTTTAATTTTAGTTACAGGTATACCCTAATTTTAATTTAAGTAAGATTTTTCATATGTTGTTTTCTAATTTTTGGTTTGAAAATTTGAAAACATGTTTAATTGTAGTTACACGTCTAACCAAGTCGTAATTTCATATATAGTCCTTTTTTTTTATCTAGGGAGATAGAGTGCATATCCCCAATTTCATTTTTTTTTCTTTTTTAAGAAAAAAAGGAGAAATTCCTATTTATATGGTTGATCCTGCAAGTGCCCGACATGACTTAGGCATGCAAATTATTTCCATTAAAAATAAAACGTACGGCTTGTTTGCTTTTCTTAATTATGACGTCACAAAAAGAAAGAGTAGAAAATCATGGTATTGATCGATTTTAAGCTTATCAACAATCGACAATCATATCCCTTAAAAAAAAAAAAATCAACAATCATACAGAAAAGCTTATCGATTAATATGCAAAAGGACTAATTAGCTAGACTATTCAAATCTCAAACCACTAGTTACTTAATTTTGCAGTTGATGTGACACAATATCACATTAATTTATTGGGAACCTTATTTAAAATGTAGATAGTCAAATTCTATTATTAATTACCGGTTGAATCTCTTTTGGCACGTTTTCAATATTTCCGTCCGCAAGATATGGATAAGATCTGACAACGAAATCACAATAATTGTTAATACGACATTATTATATTCATTAAAAAAATAAGAGAGTTTTTTAGTTAGACTCGAAAAAATAAATACTCATAATTTTAAAATTTTTAATTGTTAGGTTTTTATTAAATTTATTTATCATGTATGATTTTTTAATCTCTATCTGTGGGTTGGTATACTTGAAAAGGTCCAGAAAAATAATTATTATCTAACAATGCATAAAAAAATTAAAATTATTTTTTATGGGATTGTCATGTGACTAGCTCTTTTATTTATTTATTTTTTTTT